CGTCGTTCCGTGTTCGAAAATGTGGCGAGGAGCTTTCGACGGAAATCTTCCCAAGATTGGAAAGTAGCCTAGTGGTTCTCGTACCACGTACGAGCGCTATCTTCCAGGGCGAAATATGCACGGCCAAGTTTGTGTTGTTCGTTCTAGTGGTTAGATAAAGCGACCCGTTTGAACTGTTCGAGCCAGTCCTCGACATCCTCGTACTCTTCCCCATGGAAAACTTCAGGAACGCGAGGATGTTCAAGAGTCACCTGCGAGGGAAGAGTGGTCTGCGACGGAAGGGTAGCCGTGGATGTGGTTAGGAACTGCCATGCTGGTTAGAGGTGGAACAGGTGTCGACTCCGGACTTAGGCCTTGTAGGCGCCGACTGAATCGGTGCACCGGAGTCGTGACGAAGGGCTGGGTCTCTGGACTAGGTGAACGGGTCCGAGCAAGACTGTCCTGCATCCGGTTGTAGGCTCCAGCACCTCCACCAGTGTCACGATGTCAAAACAGAGGTCTTGTCGTAGAGATTGAGACACCAGAAGCAGGTCGATCTTTTTAGTTAGAACGCGCAAAGCGAGCTCTTCTTCTTCGTCCATTTCATAGTCCTTCGTGGCACATGCACAACTGCCATCGTCTTTCTTGAGCAAGCACGGGACAATATTACCATGACGGACAATCGGCCACTTCCAAAACATATGAGCCAAGCCTCAGACAATCAGCGAAGGGCATACTACGCTCTGTGCCATATTGAACACCTTGAAAATATACCTAACGAAGAAGATATAATCTACACAGACGCCTCATGCACTCTAGAAGGCTCCAACACAGGGGCATTTTCAACCTGAGAACAGGGGAAGAATCTTTATTCTTTATAACTCAACCGTGCTTACTGCCCGAAGCAGCTGAAGGGTACACTATTTCGGAAGCTCTAGCCCATTACAATCAAACAGGATCATCGCCAAAAGTTTATCACATCTTCAGGAATTCGCAGCAAGGGCTTGAAACACTCCAAACTAGAAGAAAGCTACCAGCGTACGCCAGGCACATCCTGCACTGTGCCGCCCAACTTCAAGAACGATCAGTCCGAGCAAGAGTTCATTGGATTTCTGGACACACAAATATACCTGGACACGAGCTAGTTCATCAACTAGCCTTGCAGCGTCATAGCAAGGAACTACTCGGGGATGTGAGCTCGAAGCAGGCCGCAACGAGGACGCAAGATGAGACCCATGAAGGCAACTGAGCGAAAGTTAAACGCCGGCGGCAATTAAGGTCCAAGTTAGAAGAAGCTACGAAACACGAAGCCACACCCCCAAGATCCACCCGCCTCTACGAGGTAACACTCAGAAGATTGCAAACACGAAGTTTCACGACAATCTCGGTCCTTCACAAGATACACCCGACTAGGAGGTACTCCGACCCCAACTGTGACCACTGCCACGAGCCAGCAACGACGGAGCATATCCTCTGGAAATGCCCCGTTCACGAATCAAGCCGAGCTGCTTTTATGAAAAAAGACCAACGTACCCTGCCTCAGCTACAGCAAGACATGGAAGGGATTACCAACTGGATACTTGAAGACTCACTCATCAGAGCCAGGCTAAACCTGTGGTGTGCTGCCTTGCGCACGAACGCCATTCCCTGCCCTGCAGTAACAAGCTGACCAGTTTAAGGTCACCCGAATTTTTTTTTCATGGTGCTGAAGCTAACAAGCGAGAACACATTGTAAATAGTCAAATAAAGTTTTCAATCAATCAATCAATCAATCACTCAATCCCATTGAAATGTGCTCTTTTGCCCGGGCAGTGAAAAAATAGAGCAGGCGCTGGTTAAGGTCGCCACATGGGAGTTTGTTAAGGCATGGACAAAATTGCACTTGACCTAGTGGAAGCACGGCCAATGGCGTGGACGCTTAGAAACGACGCGTTGGAAGAAATAATTGCGGAAACCACGACCGTGATGCATTACTGCACTTTACCAAGAACGCTGTGACAAGACAACGGTACACATAAGGGGCACACTTTTTATAGCATACAACGTATGTCAACAGGTATTTATTGATTGTAAGAATCCCGTATTCTCCTGGGACATATTACAGAGCACTTCACAGATAGCTTTACCTCTTAATCCACACAGAACATGTTTTTTGCCCTTTGAAAATTTTGCTCAGCATTTGGATGTTGTTTCTTTAGTTGATGTACATTCGGTATAGCGCAGCTTGCTAGCTTATAGACGCTGTTATGATAGAGTACTATCTCGCGATAGAAATCAAAGTCAAAGTGCGTGATGTATATAAGACGAATGACTGTGATAAAGATGTGATATCCTTGTTTGATATATTAACGCGTATGACACGAGTATGATGTATGATTGTTAGACTATGTTCACCAGTAGTCAAGAGCGCAACAAAAAATTGCCCGTGGCGCCGCGGGCAGCGTGCCCAGCATCTGATATCGTAGACTTATGGGTCATTGTTTTGAATCCCACTGACGGAACTCTATCTTCTGATTATGTGCACTTTTTGACGTCATTTTTGGGAAAGAAATACGTCACTGAAAACTTGGTGTACCCCAGCAAAAAAAAACACTTTTCTCATAAAACAGAGCAAGGACGTAATAAGAGCTGTTTCCTAGGGAAATTGAAACGCCTACAGTAAGCTTGTATGGAAGAAGTGTATCACAGAGTAGCAATCACCAGCGCTGGTGTCAGGCAGCCACCCATTGTCTTCGCTTACTGTGAACTACCAAAGTTGTTGCCACCTTGCGTCACCTGGAGGCCAGCGCACCCGGGCAACGCAGAGAGCTTCGAAATGCCCTCATGCAGCTCTCGGACCAGCCGGGCTCCTCCATGTTGGCGCTCTCTGTATTTTTGTTTGCTGTCCCATCTTCTCAACTTGTTGGCCAAATACCGGAGCTCCACTGCTTGTAGAACGACGCTGACGACTGGGTGGAGACCGTCAACGCTATAGCAGCGCGCGAGACCTAGATGGAGCCTCAGAAATCGTTCATGGCTGTAGACAACCTTCGAAATGGTGCCGCGGCGTGGCATCGGTACGAAGGCGTGCGGCCGCAGTGTGCGTGCTTGCTAACATATCATTATTCAGGTCACCTCCCAATACAATGCTATGATTATGGTCATTATTGAAAGAAAACATCGGATCCAAGCACTGCATAAAGTTGTTAATATTTCCATCAGGAGGTCTGTACACTGTCACAAATACACAGCTGTGCACTCAAACAGATACAATTTCAAAATCATCTGAGCATTGACACCATTCATTTAACCGTTACCATCTGATTTCTTGTTTAAGGCACATGCACACAACACCTCCTGCTCTTGTTTTTTTTATTTAGGTACACTGTATTGTAACCTTCGATAGTGATAACACCCAAGTCATCACGATACTACCTTTTGTAAGCATTAGTATGTAAAAATTTAACTTCAGCTGATCAAGAAGAGCGAAGAGGTCATCGTCTTTACAACGTGCGGACTACATAATATTATAAACTACAGCTAGGGGTGACCCACCTAGATTATCAAAAAGTGTGTTTACTTGACAGCGAATAGAAGCCAATATATAAGTGTTGATTTGCAGGGGATAGAGATAAATACATAAAAATGGGCAGTAAGGTTTTTGAGTATAACAAAGTACCAGCTCTTGAATAGGACACATAAGTAAAAGTAAATGAAAATACGTAGTGATTATGGTTTGCCATTATATACAGTACCACAATGCGAATAGCATAACGAGTGGGCCGTCCAATGCTCCAAACCATAACAAAAGCTTGCTCTTGTTCCCCTAATAACTGTGGCACATACCCACTTCCGCCATAATTCCTCATCGTCATCAGCCACTGCATGGACAAATCGCACAAAATTTCTTGCAAGTGCTTAGCGGATACCACGCTTCTCAGAAGAATGACAAAAAATAGCCTAGCGAATGCTGGCCTACTACCCAAAAGTTTATTAATAATGCGCTAGTGGGTACCAAGCAAGTGTGTTTGCAGTAGTTACCCAATGAGTGTTTTGAAAGACTCTGAAAGGCCGCTCTTTTAAAGCTTTAGCTATGACTCTGCTGCCCTTACCATGCAGTCCTGGCGTTTCTCACTGAATCAAACGCCCTCTCGTAATCTAGGAAGGTTATGTATAGTGGTTGGCTGTATTCTGAGAATTCCTCTATTACCTGTAGCTGATTGATAGTATACGAATGTGGTCGATTGTTGAGTAGCCTGTTCGAAATCCAGCTTGTTCCTTTAGTTGATTGAATTCTAATGTTGTCCCAATTCTGTTAGCAATTACAACAGTATTACTGTATAGACCATCAAAAGCGGGCAATACTGGTTATTTTATAAAGTGGCATCTGCAGCCTTTGACCATGAAATGGCGGGTTATACTAAACCGTTTCTTAGATCCAAGGGGCATGGTCATGATGCAGTGTATGGCCTGCAATGGGGTAATTGTGTTTGCCATCTGATAAATATTGCGTATAGTCTTAATAATAATTTGTGAAACTATTCAGGCGTTGCTCACATAAGGTATTGCTCTTATGTCTCAGGTATAGGTCAATCAATGCATGACCATTTGCCACTTGTGTGTAAGGTGAAATTATATATGCAGGTCTACACGTTTGAGATGATACGATAGCGCGCCTTTCATTCACAATTGAATTGCCATTTCTGGTTGTTTTTAAACATTTCTTTAATATTTTTTTATTGGCCTGAAGATGCAGAAAACGTTAACGCGTCTTACACGATAGACACCATACTGTCCTACGCACCACATTCTGTCAAGGTTTCCCCCGTTTCCAACGCCTCTCGTCTTTTACGCACTATTGACCTTATTATCCTTGAAGTGAGGCTTGTGGATTTTTTACTCCCTAAAAGCATATAAGAGCCATTGTTAATATCAGCAAATTGTTTTTACTTCCAACATTAAGGGCTCTTACTTTGCGATAAGTACTAACTTTACAGCACCAGTGTGTGCTCTTAATCCCATTTGTTTTGCTTTTGCAGGGTCGATAAGAAGTGAAATTGAGGTCAGATGGCTCTGAGTAGGCCCCAGCCCTACGCTAAAATTATTGACGGTGTGCCGAGGTGTCCCTTCGCGACTCCGGAAAGCGTAAGGCATGGCCTACGCTTCATGGCACAGAAAGGCGACGTACTGGAGGTGTCATATCCCAGAAGCGGCACTCACTGGGTCCAGTGCATCATACAGTTGATCTTGAACAGAGGGGAGCCATTCAGCGAATACATGGAGTTTCGACTACGTGCTCCTATAATCGAATACCGCCCAGACCTCCCGCCACGCCCTACCAGCAAGCCACTGCGGACTTTGTGCACGCACCTTCCACTGTGCTTGGAAAAGCTGAACCCGGAGGCGAAGTATGTCTACGTGGCCCGTAACCCTTGGGACGTCTGCGTGTCACTCTACCACCATGTAAGGGAAACAAACCCTCCTGCTACGATCAACCCCTGATATCTGAAAATAATCTGAAAATACGTAGACAGCGTTTCACGTATTATATGAGACGAAAGCAAATGAACCGTGAGAGGGCATGAATGGCATCGGACAGAGAAACAGAGAAGCCGTAAACGTTAGGAACACTAAAACAGGTGTTGAGGCATTTTAAACGCAACCAAAAACAGTATAGGCAAGGATGTCGGAGATGCGGTTTGCAACTGTAAAAGAAGCCAAGTCGCAAAAGGCGGGCTAATCTGGTGAATATTGGCAAACGCAGCTATGCTCAACGGAGTAGAATGAAGGCAGAAGACGAATGAAGTCCCTCAAAAGTAGTCGCTTGACAGCAAATTATATACGCTTAACTCACTTGAAATGCACTGAAGCATAAGTAGCAGTGCAGCCATTTTCTATTATCTCGCAGTTTAGGGTGGCCGAGCGCACTTATTTTTTTCCTTTCTTGCTCCCACGCGCCTTTTGCGTCACCGTCACTAAAGGTGTAAAATATGCGTGTACATTGAGGTTGCATTATGCCTGTACCTACAATATTTATGCACATATTGTAGTTTCACTGGCCCCGATTCTTAAAATCTTCTTGCGTAACATGTCCTAGCGTAGAATTAGTTTACCATTGTGAGATATATGTTTTTAAAAAATTGGTTGATTCCAGTGTTATAGGAATTGGTAAAAAACCACAGTAAAGCCGGTCTTGACAGAAGTAGTTCAATGTGTACTGTACGGTGGAGTCTCCCAGACGTTGCGCAATGTCTATTGGTGTTTGACGGCTATAGCACTGCTCAACGTGGATCCATCCACGTTGACGCTTAATCAAACATCTCTATCTCGACGCCTAACGTCATTCAATAATTATGAAACAAACCTTTGTGATCATAGTTGCCCGTTGGAGTTGTAGTAATTAATGGCGAAAGCGGAACCTAACAAAGCGACCTGACCTCCAGAAGAACATGATTGATTGGACGTTGAAATTCTGCTAAGGAAAACGTGGCTTTGACTTAAGTTCAGCCCTACTCGCGGCATGTTTGAATTATTGAACACTACTGCCCAACCAGGGCAAAATGCAAACGTGTTTCGCGCCTTCCCTTTCATTGGCCGAGACTATTCACGGCCCTAGCGGGAACGCCGAGTGAGAACAGGCGAAGCAGGTTGGTGCCCCGTGCGACGCAGAGCTATCGCTCGTATGGATTGATGCAACGAGCGACGCCAACGCTTTGGGTAAGCTCAGCCCTGGGGGTGTGCTAAGGCGTTGATGAAATGGCACTTACTCCTATTGGAAACGCGCCGAATGGATAAACGCTTAGAAATGACGCGTTGGAGGAGCTAATCGTAAATGCCACGTTCACGATTCATTACTGCCCTTTACCGAGAGCACTATGACAGGACAGTGGCAGATTTAAATGTCGCATTTTGTGAAGCGTACAAGGCCTGTACACTCACGAAAATGCATGCGTGCAGGCCGCACATCTTAATCGCAATAGAATTCTGCATTACAGGTGAGCCACAAACAGTTAAAACCGCTATCCATAATCAAATCGAAAGGCACTTGCTCTTCATTTATTCTTCGCAAAAATTTTATACTGTAGAAATTTAAACGTAACTTCTGCTTCATCCACTTCCGAAGCACATCCAAAAAATATATGATTCCCAAACAATGTAAGAAAACATAGCCTACAGTTTTCAATTTTTTACCGACAAGAAAATCTGTCCACCAAATTGAGTAAAAATTACGATCTGCTTCAAATGTTCTGACAGATAATGTACCCGTGTGAAGCTTAAATAAGAAGGACTACGTGGCATGAGCCACTTCCATTCTCTTGACTCGCTGACGCGCATCTTGTCCTTGACCTCTAGTGTACACTGACACGGTGCAAGGGCTCATGCAGAAAATCACACACATTTTTGTACATTTTTCTGCAAGTTACTGAAAACAAATATTCATTAAAAATTGTAACATATAAAAACCGTGCACTTGAAATAACTTCCTTAGGATACGCGCGGAGAGCGCCAGTCATCTAATGCGTACTAACCACATATCCAGGTAAAGCGCGCATCAGTCTCGATTGGTGCACCGCATGTAAAAAAGGATTCCTTGTGTAGCGAAAAAAAAAAACATGTTTAAAACACGCGTATGAAAATATTTGGTTTACCCAGCCATCTTTGTTGCTCTCTTCGAGACAGATCGGTTTGACTGCATTTCTCCCAGTTCGAGGCCCACACGAACGCTGCGAAGATCGATAAAGCTTCTGTATATCTGCCCTTGAACACTGCAATACTTGATGACATACCAACGTTCTGTGGCAAAGAAGAGATTGCACATGCAGTCGCCCTCAAAAACACTGACAGATGAGCACCGTTGCATGTATTGCCTTTCGTGTGGATGTCTTTCTCTTCTTCTTGTCAGTAGTTCTAGTTATCTTTATCATATCACAGCGGCACACCAGGGTACCTAAAAATTGTGGTCAACCACTTAACATTGTCAAAATAGACTGGTCTGAACGACCACTCTCAATTCCGGAAACCCAGGCACTTTCCCTAGTTTACTAAACCGCCAATTGCATTGCCTAACAATTTAACTACAGTGCTACTAGTGGTAACACTGTGTTGATCGGTAAAGCAAATAGCCACATCGTTGGCATATGTCCGAGTATTAACATCCGATTCTTGTAACCTAAAGTCATGAATCCTGCTGTTTTTAGTTATTCTTAAGGAAAACGATTCTATACGCTAACTGAACAATAAAAGACTTTATGGCTGTGGTGCAGTGGATAGCGTGCCCGGCATCTGTAGTCGCGAACACAGAAGTCATGAGTTCGACTCCCGTTAACGCAAGTTTGTTTCTTCGTCTTCTAATCGTACCTATTTTTGACGACATTTTCGTGACTGAAATACGTAAATGAAGTATTAGTGAACCTCGGCATCAGACACCTTCGCGTTAATATTTAACCTCACCTCATTTGACTGGCAGCTCGATAGTTTGTTCCATATTGTGCTACCTTCCTGTCTTGTCAAGATAACGTGTTGAACTTTGATGTTGGCATTTTGACATTACATTCAAACTGTACCATTTATCAGGCTATTGTATTAAAAATTATAAAAAAGAGCACTATTAGACAATGTCTGTGCAGCAATATTGGTATTTTTATTGAGAAATTCACAGTCACATCACGAAGACGGTGTAGTAAATGCCATAGCAGCAAGTTAAAATGTTATACAGTGATATTAGCATGCTTCTTAGCATTTGACCCAGCGTAACTAGACTAAACACGTACGCAAGGAAACGGGCCCACGCAGCGAGAGAAGTGACCTTCATGCCGTTGAACACTTGTACGCTAAATGGGTGGTGAAAACAAAGTATGTACGAAGGCCCATAATTGCTAAACGCTGTCAATATTTGGGGAGTGCAACCACTTCCAACCGCAGAAAGTACTTCTCTCTCTTTGGTGCGTAAACATCGGATACACTGGCACTCTTTAATTCACCCATACAACACATGAAGCTTGGGGCAGTGCTGTTGCACTTGTGCTTTACGAGAATACTAAGGGCGACGATGAAGGAAAAAGGGCCCTTTTGTGTCAATGGCATTGCGATTGATAAAATAGCGTGACAATAACTATACTTTCACCCGTCCCGGTGTTCTAGTGATTATGGGGCTCGAATGCTGACCCGAAGGTCACGGGATCGAATCCCCAGTCGTAGCGGCCAAACTTTTGATGTAGGCGGGAATGTTCGAGGCCCGTGTACCGAGAATTAGCTGCGCTTTAAAGAACTCCACGTTGGCATATTTTCGAGAGCCCCGATCTAAGTCTCTCATAATAACATGGTGGACTTTGAGACCACTAAACACCAACAATTAGAATTAAGAAATATCAATACTATCACTACACCAGTTATCTAAAGCACTTCGATGGGTATACCACAGTGATGCCTCTACGAATGTCATTTTTTTTCTTGAATTTCAAGGCTTGTAGAGTGAAGATCTGTGGAAATATAAACCACCTGGGTTTTTCTTATGGGACCCAAATAACTTTTTTTTAGTTCAACACATCTGAATGCAGCCACTGTGGCCAGGATCCAACCTGCGCACACGTTATCAGCAATGCAACACTTTACCTGCTTAGTTACATGGGTGACATAGCCAACGCTAAAGTAATTTTCGTGACTTTCTGATTGATATGTGGGGTTTAACGTCCCAAAACCACCATATGATTATGAGAGACGCCGTAGTGGAGGACTCCGGAAATTTCGACCACCTGGGGTTCTTAAACGTGCACCCAAATCTGAGCACACGGGCCTACAACATTTCTGCCTCCATCAGAAATGCAGCCGCCGCAGCCGGGATTCAAACCCGCGACCTGCGGGTCAGCAGCCGAGTACCCTAGCCACTAGACCACCACGGCGGGGCGCTTGACTTTCTTGTTTGTGTAATGATCAAAATGACTCCCCGCCCACGTTATCCACAGGATCTAAAACTGTCAGCATCATACGATAGCACTAACACGAAATCAAGCATGAGGCACCACTATGAAATATCGCCGCTGATGACATTATGGCCGCAGAACTGAGCAACAGAGAGAAATTGAAGCACAATACTTTGTTTGGAATTTTGAACAACTTGCAGGTGACGTCTCTCAGCTTCTATCGCTTTCAAGACGGAACATTCGACGATTTCCTCGAGGCTTTCTTCACGGGACGTCTTCCATACGGCTGCTACTTTGAGCACCTGGTGGCCGGATACTCACTGAAGGACGAGCCTAACATTCTCTTCCTCACGTACGAAGAACTGCAGCGAGATCTGCGTGGAGGGGTTCTTCGTCTTGCCAGCTTCATGGGCGAAAATCACTTGAAAGATCTCAAGGAAAATCCGGTGGAAGGGCAGAACTTATTGGACGTTATAGTCAAGAACACCAGCACTGATAGCATGAAGAAGGTAATGATCTTCGACCTTACCAAAAATTTCTACCCAGAGGTGGACGAGCTCTTAAAAAACCTGAAACCATCAACGAAAGCAGCCCACGCAGGAGACGCCAAGCGTCATGAACTCGTGAGGAACGGCAAGGTGGGCCAGTGGAAGGAGTACTTCTCTGCCGAGCAGCTGCAACGTATGGAGGCCGCCATCAAAGAAAAGACCAGTGGTTCTAGCGTAATGAGCCTATGGAGCGACATAAGAGCAGACGCACTGCGTATGTGCTGAGAAAAGACAAGCTTGCAACGTTCACGCTGCTGTACAGCACCTATAGCTGTCAATGCCACACGGCGCACGTTCAACACGAAGTTGCGTTTTCCTTTCGTCTTGTTCTCCTCATCGACGCCTGACAACCTACTTCAGCACACGGCTAACCCCCAAAATTTAAACTCGGTGTATTTGTCTTGTTGTATTCGCTTACGTATGAATTTGTGAACTCAAAACACTTTAAAATACACGTTAAAGAAGTGCACGCACACTTCTTAGATGGCAGTACAAGGCTGGGGCGGGACGCAGTACATCGAAAGTCAAGCTAGTGCACCTTTGAGCAGCTAAAACGTATCTATTGAAGCGCCGTTGCAAGTGTCTTTGTCGATGTTTAGTAATTAACAATGAAATAGTCATTAACACCGTTAACGTAATTTCTACGTTAATGGTGGCAGATTAGGATCAGTGTCTCGTACATTCTTGTACTCTACTAAAAAAGCTCTTAATAAAGGAAATAAACAATGTTTAAAAAATTTCTAAAAGGAGTCATACTCACTGCTATTCTTCAAGAGCGTAGGCACAATTTTTTTTTCTATGGTGCCTCCCTAATTTCTTTGCAGTGGAGAAGAGGCGCGTGTCCGGTGTGCCAACACCTGGATACGCCATTGTAATTGCTCATGTGTGAAACACTTGGAGTCCTGACGTTCATTCAAACATATCTCATATCTTCTCCATTAGTGTTAATATAAGTACAATGTTTCGGGAAGTTATAGGAAATCAAATAAAGAATGAGCTCAGAGGACTGCATAAATCAGTGACAGAGGTTATGAAGGAAGGTTAACAATATGCCCCATTTGAAAGCCCGCCGTCAACACCAAATTCGCAGAAGAATATTTTTACCAAGGTGTTTTACTTTTGTTTCAAATGCAGGAAATACAATACAACGATAATGTTATGAAAATAACCAGATACAACGATTTCTTTATCACCATAACAAGAGCAGCAGAAACAATGACACTGTAAGAGGAACAGATGCTAACAGGAAGAGGTGGAGAAGAAGGAAAAACTTGAAAGTCCTCCAGATACCCGTTTGTTTTACTATCCTACGCTGGGGGAGGAGAAATAATGGGTTCAAAGACAGACATAGCAAGAAGGGAACGTACGAAAATAGCGTGTACACACAAGAGACAGAGAAGAGTGACAGAGCACGAGCGCTCATGGTGCGTGGCTCTTTTCTGTCTCTTGTGGGCGTGCCTGCACTCCCAGTTTGCTGAACAAATTTGAACTACCAGCTAGCCCACCCATATATCCTGACATACGAAAAGGTTCATGTGAGCTTAAACCACTCTGCTGCGTATCACAGTAGCCCACGCAGGATTTCAGGCATATCGCGTTTCACTGTTGACCATCCTGTCACGATGCCTACAAAGGGCTTGTATGCACTGGACATAGGACCCTCAGTACCTGTAGAGACTCAGCGTGTGGGGATGTCAGTCTACTGATAAACACACAAAATATGCCGAACAGGAACCATGCCTGGCGTTTCCAGCTCTAGTAGCTAGCGTGCAAGGTTAAAAATACCATGAGGTGAACATAACTAACAGCATTCTTGGCTCGGCGTTGGCGTTTCACTGCGGCGTCTCGAGCACACATTTCCGCGTGTGCTTGAGAGGCGCCGAGACGCTAGGTGACGTCGAGCGCATCGGACGCATTCGTCTTATCTCCTAAAAATTTACCTGTTTTAGATGCGGAAGCATCTTATACTCGCGCCTTGTAGTGCACCGTCCGCGCCGTCCGCACCGCTTCTCGAACATTCGACAGCTGACGCGCGCGCATGCGCCGTCGCGCCGTCGCCCACTCTTCCACCATCTGTGCACCCTTCCTCCTCTACACACCGCGTTCGACATCTACAATTCTCCTGATTCTCCAGTGGACGCGCATGTGGCGTCGCGCTTCGAGAACATTCAACAGCTGACAGTGCATGCGCCGTCGAGCTGTATATATACTCAAGGTCGGCGCTCGCTCGCTCAGTTGCCGCTCGTCGGTTGGTTTGTACGGCGCGTCGACGTCCAAGGTCGCGGTGAAATGAATTCCAACGAATCCACAAACACAATGATCGACGTCCCTTCGACCAGCGCCGCCCTTTCGCATACGTGTGTACGTGTTCACTCATTTAACACCCCCTCCTACAACCACGTTAACCAATTTAGCCATCGACCCAAGTAAGTCGCACTTTAACACCCCGTTAACCAATTATATGCTCCGCATCCTCCTCAGTGTTCCCCCGAGGGAAGCTGCGGGCAATTTTTTTGCGTTAAACTTCACGGATTCTTTAGAGCAAACGCAGAGTGTCTGGAAGTATTAGGTGACAATTCTCACACCGAGGTATCTGGACAGCGACACTGATTTCTTCCATTCTGAAGTGACCAAGGACTTGGCATGCCCGGCCGCCAGGCTAGAACTAGCGGTAGACCCGGGAGCAGTGCATCGACTACCAGCAACTCTCCTGAGCGTGACAATGCAGCAGCCAATAGGTATCCGACAGTGGACCAGAGGGCGTGACAAAGCTTTTTGGGCCGCCTTAGAATTGTTGGTACCGACCATCAGGCATACTAAGAAAATGGAACGCTCGCTGAACACAGTGACACGCTGAAGTGTTGGTGCCTTTTTTGGCTCGTTTTCAAAGAACGCTTCCTGGGCACTTACATAATCAGCCGCGACCCCCTTGCTCACAAATAAAAAGAAAATGATACACACGTGCAAGTTCAGTTTTGCTGCATTTACTCGCTAGGCTACGCATCGGAAGACTCGGTTTTGCTGCGCCTGCTCACTAAGCTGTGTGTTCTGGCGCAACCATCGCATCTTTTAAACTGTATTGCCGGGTAGGAACTGCATTGCCGGGTGCCTACCCGGCAATGCAGTTCCTACCCAGCAATGCAGTTTATGAGATCTGATGGTAGCGCCATAACACACAGCCTAGCGAGTAGGCGTAGCAAAACCGAGTCTTCCAATGCGTAGCCTAGCGTATAGACGCAACAAAACCGAACTTGTATGTGCATATCATTTTCTTTTTCAGTTGGGAGCAAGGGACTCATTGCTGATTATATAAGCGCTCAGGAAGCGCTCTTTGAAAACGTGTCAAAAAGGGCACTGAAACTTCAGCGTGTCACTGTGTTCAGCGAGCGTTTCATTTTTTAAGTATTTTTGGTGGTCGGTGGTCGGTACCAACAATGCTAAGGTGGACCAAAGAGCTTCGTCGTGCCCTCTGGTCCACTGTCGGGTGCATATAAACCAACGGACGACGACCAGGTAACGGCAAAAGAAGCCTAAGACACAGACGATCAAGATTTGAACACAGAACTGGGCTCTGCCGAAGATTTCGTCGAAGACTCCCCATCGTCTGACGAGGCAGTACAAGTGGAATCAGTCAGCGGCGACGCGAGCGAACACCATGAAGCATCAAGGGGAGCCGACGACGAGGCGAAAGATGCTCAGTGGCAGCTTGCTCTTTCGTTACGGGAACGTAAGAGACTAAGGAAGCAAGCGCGTGTCATGGAAGATCCCAGGCAAGTTGGTGATTTTCAGCAAACTTTATCACTAAGCCTTACAAAAAGGACAACTAATGACTTAGCGTCTCTGGCGGACAGCAACTTCAGAGACAGCGAGAGGCACGCGGGTGGCAGTTACGGAACACATGAGCGGGCGCACGTGAGTAGACGCGACGCGTCGGGTGCCATGAGAGGCCGCCGACGCTCACGTGCGACGCCTTTACCCAAGAATGACATGAAAATTATTATACGACCCAAACCAGGACTCGTGGTAAGAGACTTAAAAACATATGAAGGGGCACGAGCGATTGAACGTGCATGGGGAGTCGCGGAAATGTGCAGAGGCGACAAATTCCTTTTGCGCCTCCGGAATGGATCCAACATTATCATTGCAAGTACTCCGCACGAGCACATCACCGAAAAAAATTTGAAAATCAAGGCGCTTGACCTAAGGAACACCAGACATCTCGTGAATACCGACATTTCTACACCCGATGGTTTCTCAGTGGAGTTGTGCACGGACTGGAACGTAAACACCAGACGAAGAACTTCTCAACAACCTTAAAGTACGCACACAGGGCGTCACAATCGTGCAAGCGCGCATGTTGGGAAAATCTGTGACGGCATTGATAACCTTGATAACCCATTGCTAATTGCATTTATAATTTATAACCCATTGTGCCACGTTTTGTGTATTACCATAGTGGTGAGATGCCATGTCTGCCATACCAAACCACAAGACAATAATGTAACCTGTGTAAAAGCCAAGGACACAGGACGGACGTCTGTCCAACACCCACTGTGAATGCGTGTGGCAGCTGCAGGCTTAATGACCCTCCAAAAGACCACGTGTGCGCTCCCGAGTGTGCACTATGTGGCGGGGATCATCCAACGGCGGCAAAAGAATGGACTAGAAGGCTTAAGAAAGTCCCCCAACGGGGAAAAGAACATATACAGCAGCTTAGGCACAAAAATGAACAACGATCCCCAGGAATACTGAAGCGTCGGTGGTTCAGCACTAAAAGGCACGATATGGATTTAATGGAGGCATCCAACGCGTGATCACGCTCTAGATCTCGATCCAGTTGCCGCTCGAGATCAAGGTCCAGATCCAATTCCCGGGACCACTCCAGCTCCAAGGGTAATTGACAAGGAGAAAGCAAGACGAACAAGAACAAGAAGCTCAAGAAGACATCGCGGCAGCAGCAACAGCAGCATCACCACCACCACCAGCAGCAGCAACAACAACAGCAGCAGCACCAGCACCAGAAATCAGGGTAAGCCGGGAAGCAGCGGCCTCCTAACCTTCTCCAAACCAAACGCAATCAACACACACAGCTCGCGCGACTCAAGCGAGAGCTCGACATATTGCGTGTACTAATGGGAGATTTAGAAAGAGACAATAGGCAACTTAGAAGCCTGCAAAAGCAGCAGCAACAACCACAAGAAAAACCCACTCAATGTTGCTCAGCAGGACAGCAACAACAACAGCAACAAAGCGTCTCAATATTAAACGACGACACTGTGGTGACGATAGCTATTCTGAAATAAGCCGTAAAAGAAATGGTTCCTTCCATCGTCGAACAGGTCATGGGGCAGGTAGAGAGAAAACTCAACGTGTTCAAGAAAAATTCAAGCGCAACAGATAGAACTCACGAAGGCGTTGAGCAAGCATACCAATGGTAGTCACTTAAGGGAAAAAGTAGATAAGGCATACAACAGGCTGGGACTACTTAATATGACACAAGGAGCTACTGACAATGCATAGGTGATTGAGAAAAACTACAGAAGAGTGCGACATATGGCACTGGAACTG